GGAAACCCGGACAATAATGGAAGACATGATTGAAACAATCGCAATCAATATTGCAATCTCAATGTTACAGCGGCTCAGGCACATCCGGGAGCTTACAACTTGGAAAGTGTTCGTGCATTTGCTAGAGCCAAGTGTTCGTGTTCTGGTGCTATTCAACAGAGAAGCAATCTCCCCGATGCTCACATGGTATGATCGAAAGGGGATGTAATGACACCACATCTGCCAGTATAGCGTGGGTAGATACAGTACCACTGAGCTGGGAGCGAAGCTATGAAAAGCACCGTCTGACCATCATTCGCTCCCACCAGATGAGCGGGCTCCTCGCGGGAAACTAAACACCATCGAGTAGCACAATGGCAAAAAGAATGGTCGGAGCAACCTCCTCGCACGGCTCACGAAGTTCAGGGGGGGCTGTCACCTCGGAGCAAGTCTTCGTCCGGCTCAAAAGGGACATCCTGCCCTGCAAAATCAATCATGTTTTCGCTTGTATTGTCATGTTCGAACAACCGGGCTTGCATTCGGTTTTTCTTGCCTTTCTTCTTTTTCGTGTTACTGACGGCTTGTGGTATTTCGTCATCCAACAGTCCCGTCGGACCTGCGGCCAAGGATGTGCTACCAGAGAAAACCGTAGTTTCTCGATAGATAATAGAGCCTTCGTCTACGGCTTGTTGGCTGGTGATATTCTGTGCATACGAGATAACCTCGTCGCCGAAAACCCACTTTTGATTCGACGCTGAACCAACAGCCTCCGCAACAGGAGCTTGGCCAGGTCTCCCAGCCGAGATGCCTCCATGATTGATCTTTACACTATCTGGGAATAAGGAGATGGCAACTCGGCGGTCGGAATGGAAAGGCTGGTACGGCGCATTGGTCTCGATCTCGGCTGAAGCGAGCGGGTGTGGCGTTCTGGAACCTCCATCTCTGGTGGATCGGACTTTCCAGAAGCTGAGCAATGCAGAGGTCGCATCGCTGTCCCCCTGTGCTTCGTCTGAGCGATTCCGCACCGGAAGGTCTGCAGCGAGTTCCGCAGCCTTAGGGAGCTTGATTGCGACAGCCCTGCGCGCATCGAATACCGATACCGTTTCCATCTGCCGGTTCTCCCTAGGCTTTGTCATTCGCACATAGTAATTCTTGATGTTGTTCTCGTCCAGGATAGATAGTACTGACTTCCTATCACGTTGGAGCCAACAAAATATGCCCACTCGGGCTGGAATCTTCAGATGAAGCCTGCTTTGATTCGCGTGTCGTATGCTGGTAACAGTCTCGGTAGCAGCACCTAAAGACTTGCTGAGTCCGGCTGCCACTGCTCTGCTGCCGCTTTTGATACTGGTCGTAGAGGCAAACCCCATACCAGCTGGAGCCATCCCAGCCACCCCACTGCTAATACTTGGTGCTCTACCACGTAAACTTGCAAGCATCGGCTGGGTTCTACCTGCAATGCTCATTGCGGAGGCAAAGAAGCCGCCAGGCGGCGCTGGTTCATGGTCTGTCTTTACCTGGTAGGGATCAGCCGGCGCTGAAGTCGGCCGATTCCTCTTAGTCGGAGGTGGCGGCCATTGGAAAGCGCCTTTTGGCAGGTCGAACAGGTGAATAGTTCGATTCTTCGTCAGAATGGCAAACCGGGAGCCAGTAGAACCGTCCCAGGCAACATCAACAATCGAGGAGGGACTCAGTCGTTCGTAGCGTGCAATTTGCCGCACACGTCCACCTTCGGCAGGATTCGAAGGTGTCGAAACGATGACATACTTCATCTGCATCAAATCCCAGACGTACTGCACATCACCTTTGCGGTTGGCTGTCAAAATACCGAGACCTGTAGGCATAAACGACAGAAAGCTACAGCCTCCCGGTGCTTGAAATGTGACCATCGGGCTGGACTCAGAGATTGCTTTTCGGCCTTGGTTGTCTTGGAGCAACTTCAAGTCTATTATTGTGACAAGATCCGGGTCCTTCGACACGCCTTGCTGGTCAATGGCATGAGTAGGCGGAAATTGTGTCAGGCCAAGCTGAGGAGAGTAAACTGGAGGGCTGGAGGATGGAGCAGCTGGCATGTTAGGGTTGGCCGGGTCCCTTTTCCAGTAACTCTGCCACGTCTGCATTCCTTTTTCACTGATCCATTTTGCGCCCCTTACCGCCTCCTGAGCGAAGCCTTTGGCGACTTTGCTGAGGAATGTGTCGACATCAGGAGACTCAACATCGCAATTGGGCAAAGGTCGCGAAGGCGCCGTTCCAGCTGTAATATTAGAGTTTTTGTTATGGATGACATGATCGCCCAAAACAGCCCCAACAGATCTTCGTGACGGTGTGCCTGCAGGACAAAAAGCGAGCCATCGTCCGCTAAGACTGAGAATTGGAAGGTTCTGGTTATCCGGACCACGGCCAAGATCAGCAGGTGAAACATCTACATCCGATCCTGGTCCGTGGGACGAGGAGTCCCTTCTGTGGAGTTGAGGTTGTATCGTAGTCCAGTACTTGCCTAAGCATTCAAATGCTGCAGAGTCCTTGCCTTGTCGAATGGAGAAGACAAACATCTCTCCACTGTCAACGGATGCCACGACAACAAAGTTGCCGCTCGAGTAAACTTTCAGGTTTGCCGCGTGGCTGACGCTTGAAGGTACTCCGGGAAAGCTCTCCACGGCTGTCTGCACTCTCAGCAGCTCGGCGACCTCGCAGCATTTGCTGACTGAATACACCACCACCTTCGTCTCGAAGGGTGTCTGGTGGTGCCCTGAAAAGGCCCGGTCTTCTGGAACCATGGGGACAGATCCAGGCCCGCCGGGCCCATAGACTGTGAGTGCAACGAGAGGCCTGTAGTCCGCAAAGGGAGTTTCGCCGGTATTCCACATAAGCAGTGCGGCGTCAAGGATGGTACCCTGCACGCCGCTGAGCGCTCCTATGTGTTCGGTTTTCTCGCCATTGTAGCTCACCATGTGCAATTCACCGTCCACAGCGAGTAAAGCAGCCTCGCGAGACTCGTTTCCTGATCCTGGAAGGCGAGCGAATTTCAATGGGACTGGTTCTGGTAGAGGCGTATGGGGAGGATGGAGACCTAGATCAACATCGTGAGGCCCGTAAAAATGTTGTTGAGGTAGATGAGGCGGGGCAGGCGGAGATCCGTAAGCTGTCATGCCGTATCCATACGGAGAGGTCGAGATTCTCGAATGAGTCGGGAGCGGAGGGATAGCACTGCTGTAGCTGACAGGACGGGCCTTTCGTAGCGGAGGTGAGATTGGAGGGCTTCTGCTGTTGAAGACGCCGCGGCTACTGAAGCCTGGCTCATAAGGAGGAGAGCCGCCTGTGTTAAGACCAGGGATGTGTTCAACAGGCGGGGTCCTGCCATGGACTGCACTCCGAGCCCAATGGTCAGCTGGGGGAGTGTGCTCATCGGACACCTTTTGGGAAGCGTTCACGTCGTTGAGAACGTCGACCGGACTGATCCTTCTGTTTGAAGGGAATGCCTGGGGTAGTTGACCCAGAATGGAAGGCGAAGGGTTTGAGGAGATAGGGGTTTGTTGAGATTGGCCCATTGACTCAGCTGCTTTTTCGGCATGATCGAGGCTCGACAGCTGTTTAACAGCAGCATTCTTTGTCTTTCGCTTTCCTGCTCTTGAGGCGGGGCGATCTTGGTCTGCCACTGTTTGGAAGCCTTCTCTTTCAGAGATCCTGGACTCGACGGAGGTTGGCTTGTTGGATGCTGGCATTCAAGAAATGGGGCGAGGCAGTGTGAGGACCTAGCTAACTACTCTTCACGAGCAGCCAAGCTGTATCTGCAAGAAGAGTGACCGCGTCCGCAGGATACACAAGGCCACTGTGCTGTTGTTGAAGTGAATCGAGGGACCGGCGCGGGGTTATTCGACGCGTCGGTTGGAGAGGGAATGAGTGAGGAGTGGTCTCGAGCAGCAGATCAGCTTGCACCAGCAGTTGCGTGTTAGGATCAAAGGAGGGACCGCTGAGTAGGGTGCAACGAAGGACTTGTGAGTATCTTATTCTTTGTCTGGTCAGAGAAAGGAATGGTTGTAATCAGAATCAGTCATGTGGCATCACTTATATGTACTTTGCTCGGGGTAGCTACGTACTTGTGCAAGAGGCACTCAGCAATGAAGTAGTCGTTGAGTCAGGAGGCCCTTCCAGGTGAACTTAGTGACCTGCTTATCGGCAACGGGGCGCTGGGGGGACGTCTGAATGGTCACTGATTCCCAAACACTCGGGGGCGGTCACTTGCAGTACCGTGCGGGGGAGATGTTCCCAGGCCCACGGGATGTGGCTGGGCGAGTCACGAGTCGCCAGAGTAGCGAGGCTGTTCGCGGATTCCAAGGCCCGGCGACAAGGACATCATCACGGAAAGCCTCTCTTACACTCCATTACGACAAGAGGATCAGTCGTCCTCAAAGTTCATGCATTTGGTCTGCAGGTGTCCTTCCGACTTACCTCATTTGCAGCCAGCCTTACAAGGAAGCAGAGGCAGATAATTCCAGCTCGTTAGATGCCTGCGCCTGACTCACATTCCAAACCCACCCAAGTCTTCGTGTTCCCCATTCAAGCCACAAATGGTTCCCTGTACCGAGTACGGATTGCAAAGGGCTGTAATAGGTTGCAGTATCATCTGTCAGTCGACTGATTTGTACATGCATAAACAAGCATCCTTTCGGCTGGTAAAAGAGTCATCGCAGAAAGGTTTCCATCTATCCAAGGTATTGGCTCCATCGACGGCTTATAGGTACAAGATTCCTCGTCATTTTTCAGGCATACGACTGAATGCAAACACCGCGAAATTTCGGATTCGGCCGGTTGATGCTGCATCACAACTGATTCTGCATTGAGCGGAATGGAAAATTGGGTTCCTTCAAAATCGGCTGATCCCGTCGAAGAGAGGACTTTCGGGCCACGAATGTCAAGGCCCGACTTTTCGGTGTCGACAAAGGATATGAAACCTGCATAACTGCCCACCGCCTGAGCGCCGTTGACACCGTGTTTGATCCCATATCTTGAAGCCTCCTCTTTCACTTCGACTTCTTGGCCGCAGCAGCTCTAGCCTTTGCTGCCTTCTTCCTATTGCTTCTGATCATGACCATGGCTAGGAACGTTCCTACGACCGCCGAACCAAGGAGCGTGAGGATGACAGGGATTCGGATTGCCCAGACGCGAGGTGGGAACAGGCTCTGAAGTGGATGGTCGTCGTCCACAAAGGGCTGCAAGAAATTTTAGTTGATAGCCTCATATCTGTGCAAGGTGCCGTACCATGAACAAGGTCCATATTGTGTAATACAAGAAGACTGTGGTCGCTACCACGAGCATCGCCATGCCCACAATTTTGTCCAGCTAGAACAGGGGAGCATTAGCATTTCGATTGACCGCGCTGTTCGCAGGGTGAGAAAATACCATCTCGTCACAATTTGGTTCCTGCTTGTGGATGATGCCCTTGAGACCTTATGTATCGCAAGAGACGCCGTGAATAATCACTGTTGTAATGTTTGACACGCGGACTGAAATGGACACGCAGTCGCGTTGTCGGAAAATGTCACTTCGCTGCATGGCTTAAAAAGGAAATCGCTCCGGAAGGGTTTTTCCGAGTCCGTGTTTGAAAATCGACTTGCGATTTATTTGCCTGCCGCTGCCTTCGACTTAAATCAAGATGTCTTCGCATCCACGAAACTGGCAACAGCAGAGGAAATGAAGATTCTGCTTCCTCTTACCACCGCTTGCAGTCTTTGAGTTTGCCAGCATGGCGGACACCATGTTACTCTCGTCTGCTGTCCGCCTTCCCACGCCGCCTCCAGGTGGTTCCTATTCCCCCGGCCCCTCAGCAGCAAGAAAGAGATCACCTCCATCTCGGTCACCCTCTCCTCGACGCCGCCGACCCGCGCCAGTCGAAGCTAACGATGGGCGCAATCCAAGGGGCGCGGAGCCGGAACGTGAGATGGATGAGCGCGAGAGACAGCTACTCGCCAAATTCAAACCTAAGGAACCAGATGAAGCAAGACGAAAACCTTTGACGGCCGAAGAAAAACAAGCGGCTGCCAAAGCCGAGTACGAGAAGCTCCTTACGATGCGATCGGGCGGCACCTATATACCTCCTGCAAAACTGCGTGCTTTACAGTCACAGATCACCGACAAGTCAAGCAAAGAGTACCAGCGAATGGCTTGGGAGGCTTTGAAAAAATCCATCAACGGCCTCATTAATAAGGTCAATGTCTCCAACATCAAGCACATTGTCCCGGAGCTGTTTGGTGAAAATCTTGTCCGTGGTCGGGGGCTGTTCTGTCGGAGCATCATGAAAGCGCAGGCCGCTTCCCTACCTTTCACCCCGATATATGCGGCGATGGCTGCCATTGTGAATACCAAACTCCCTCAAGTCGGAGAGTTGCTCCTCAACCGGCTGGTTGTTCAATTTCGAAAAGCTTTCAAGCGCAATGACAAAGCAGTCTGCTTGTCCTCGACCACTTTCATCGCCCACCTGTGTAACCAGCAAGTGGCGCACGAGACTCTCGCTGCACAGCTACTTTTGTTGCTTTTGCACAAACCGACTGACGATTCCGTGGAAATCGCGGTTGGTTTGACCCGGGAAGTGGGCCAACATCTGGAGGAGATGAGCCCTCCTATCGCATTGGCTGTGTTTGATCAGTTTCGAAGTATATTGCACGAAGCTGACATCGACAAAAGAGTCCAATACATGATAGAAGTACTGTTCCAAGTCAGAAAGGATCGGTACAAGGACAACCCGGCAATTCGCGAGGAACTCGATCTCGTGGAGGAGGAAGACCAAATTACGCACCAAGTCGACCTTGATGATGATATTGATGTTCAAGACTCGTTGAATATTTTCAAGTACGATCCAGACTGGGAAGAACATGAAGAGGCGTATAGGAAACTGAAAGCCGAAATCCTCGGGGAAGACAGCGGCGATGAGGAAGACGACGACGATAGCGGCTCTGAGGAGAGTTCGGATGATGAAGACGCCGAACAAGAACGTGCAATGGAAATCAAAGACCAAACAAATACGGACCTGGTTAATTTGCGAAGGACAATCTACCTGACCATCATGTCCAGCCTTGACTTCGAAGAAGCGTGTCACAAGCTGATGAAAGTCCAGCTCCCGGCAGGCCAGGAGTCTGAGCTACCGTCCATGATCATCGAGTGCTGTTCACAGGAGAAGACATACTCGAAATTCTTTGGCCTTGTCGGTGAGAGGTTTGCGAAGCTTAACCGGCTTTGGACGGACCTGTTTGAACAGTCCTTTGCGAAATACTACGACACTATTCATCGATATGAGACAAATCGCCTACGGAACATTGCTCGATTCTTCGGACATCTGTTGGCTACAGATGCTATTGGTTGGCACGTGTTTTCTGTGGTGCACCTTAATGAAGAAGAGACTACTTCCAGCAGCCGCATTTTCATTAAGATATTGTTCCAGGACCTGGCCGAAGCCTTGGGCATGCCTGAGCTTCAGAAGAGGATGAAGGATGATATTCTTCGGCCCTGCTTCTCAGGTATTTTCCCGACTGATACACCTCGTAACACACGGTTCGCGATCAATTACTTCACCTCCATCGGCATGGGGGCCCTTACGGAGGAGATGCGTGAACATCTCAAGAATTTGCCAAAACCAGAGCCACCCGCCCTGCCTGCACCGAAGGATGATATTTCGGACTCTGAAAGCGTCAGCTCATATTCGAGCTATTCGAGCTATACGACGAGCAGGTCATCCACAAGAAGTCCACCTCGACGGACAGATAGGAGGTCTCGGTCATTGACACCAGACGACCGGTCGACAAGGAAGACTCAACGTCGGCGTGTTTCCGAGTCACTTTCGAGGTCCCCACCTCCGGCTCGCGGTGCAAACAGGCGGGCAAGAAGCTATTCTTCGTCAGTATCGCGCTCTCGCTCTCGTTCCGCCCCACGACGCGTGGAAACAGCAAGACGATCGCTCTCCTATTCGGCCTCTCCGAGTCCACCACCAAGGAGAGAACGAGACAACGGCCGTCCGCGTGGACGAGCACGTACACGCTCAAAGTCGTACAGTAGTCACTCCGATGGTTCTCGCTCGCCGCCTCGACGCCGCCTCCCGAATCGGCGTTCCCGTAGTTATTCGACGTCGCGGTCGAGATCTCGTTCTCCCCCACCACCACCACGCCAAGCCAGTCCTGCTGTGCATCCATCTCGCCGGCGCAACGTTCCAGCTGCAAGACCCAAGTCTAGATCACGTACACCACCACGTTTTAGTCATCGACCAGCTCCACGAAGGGCTCCTTCTCGCAGTCCATCACGCTCGCCATCGCGCTCACCACCCAGGCGTAAAGTCAACAGATATTCACCTAGCAGGAGCAGGAGCAGGAGTCGAAGCTTGACCCCTCCACGACGAAGAGCACCTCTGTCCAGGAGAAGGAACTCGTCTAGTGTCAGCGGACGATCAGTGTCTAGGTCGAGATCACCACCACCTGCACGAGGAATATCAAGGAAGGAAGGGAAGAGGCGATGGTCGGGGAGCATGAGTCCGAACAGAAAGGGTGGCGATGGAAGAGCAAGGGCTGCGGATTTTGACTAGTTCTATGCACCACCCATCACATGGATTTTTGGAAGAATGAGTGACATGGTATATTGGAAAGGGAAAGGAAGTGACCGGAAGTGAGAAATTGAAGATGCTCGTCCGTCCCTGTAGGACGCAGGCGATCTCGAAGCGAAACGAGAGTCGAAACAAGCCAGTTTTCGCGGCACCGGATCGGCCGTGTCTCTTGTTTCTACTGATAGAGACCGTGGCTTGTCACTATCTGCTCTGGTTCCACTTCTTCCAACCCAGAAAATCTTTAGGGTGTGGCGCAAACGAAGAGACACGAGTATCGAGTCCATAGTATTTCTAAATAATTCCACGTCCCATGCTCTCTCTTTAATTCTCAAAGAAGCATCTCGCCTATATCCCATGTAGTGGGTCGACCCAATCAGGTCCAAAATGGCTCGGTCGGCCGGCTGAGGGATATGGTCCAATCTAGTCCATTGTGAGATGATGTTGTCGTAGTGATGCCATTTCTCTGCCACTATACCATCCATGCCACACACTCTCTCTCCCAGGCCTGGAAAAACGACGTGACTCTGCAGAATATGATGCCCGAGTTTCCTATCAAAACGCCCGACACCCCTACCAGCCCAGAGAGGCCAACTATCGCGAGCCGGTCCATCGGCCTACTAACCAGCCAGCCAGCCAGCCAGCCAGCGACATCCATCCCCAACTGGTTCTCCTGACGCCTTAAAGTAGTATATCATGCCGTCGTAATTAATTCATACTGTGTCGTCGTCATAAGCGAATCGTACATCCCTCAACCCTCGTCCGCGGCCTTTGCCTCGGTACCCGCTCCACCCGTCTGGCCCGCGCACGCCCATGCTTTGACAGAACTGCTCGTCGCCCTGGGGTCTCTCGTTCTTGGTGTTGCCCGTCAACATGCTCTGCAGGCTCATACACACCGACTCCACCGACTGCACGGGCGACCACCCCGCCGAGCCCAACAGGTCGAGGCAGATGATGCCGTTGGAGTAGATGTGAGGATGGATCGGGATGGGGCGGCCGGCAAAGGGAGTCTGAGACTGGGACTGTTGTTGCGGGTTCGCGGGGTCGGTGGCGGCGGGTGGTACTTTGAGAAAGACGACCTCTGGTGCTTCTGTATGAAATAGCCATCGTTATAACCCAATGTCAGTCAAAAAGGTCAATCTAGCCCAGCTTCTACCCGTTCTTCCCCTTTGTTCCCCTCCTCTCTCTCATCCTCTTTCTTCCCTTGGGGTTCGGTGTGGCACATTACCTATAGGATAGGAATCGGAGAAAAGAAAACTGAGACGGAAAGTCTGGTTCATGTACAGAGGATTCGCGTCCAGGACTTGGATGTCAACCAGCCATTCTCGAAAGTCGTCCGCTTTGACCAGCTCGATCCCTGGAGGGAGTTTTTGTTTTGCCTGTAAGAGGGTAACGATAGCACGGATGTCAGCACTCGTGGCGTCTGGTAGATCGAGAGACCACTAGCAGGCAATGACAAGGACGGCTCGTAAAAAGGACGGGTGTGAGAAAAACAACGCCTTGCGGTGTAGTTTTGTTTGGGAGGGGGGGGGGGGGGTGGTCGTTGGCATGTGATCATTACCTTGACCAGTTCCTGCGATGAACGTTAGTTTGGGAGGGATGGAGGAGAGAATGTGAACTGGGAGAGCAGAGCCACTCACCTTTCCTAGTCGCTTCGCCGCGAACATTGCGGGACACAGAAACGGGGTGGGTGAATGAGGAAAACCTGTGTTGTCTTTTGCAGAGCCTGCGCCGACCAAGGCTGAACCGGACGAGCAGCAGCTGAAGTCTGGCTGCGGACGGGTACGTTGATGGGGAATCTCTATCCGTGAGAGGAGACGATGATGAAAAGGAGGGGCTAGAAGGATTAGGAAATGTTCCAAAGCAAGACTTATTCTCCTTCCGAGACTCCTGTGCGTTTGTAGCAGGTAGCATATGGCAATTTATCATGGACAAGGTACAGATTTCTGGGGCACGAATGGCGCAGGCACACAACTCTGGCTGGCACCCATCGGAGAAATGACATCGAGCAACGAGTCACAGCCACCTTCACCCGTCGCCCGTCACCCCCGCACCAACCCCCACCAGTTCAGCCTCGTTTGATCACTCGGCAAGGCACTAACCAAGTCGGTCAATATACTATACTATTGCCCTTCATCATAGCGCCAGAGATTGGACAGCATTATGCGGGTCAACGCGACAGACAGATTTGCAGAACACCGACAATTTTGATTCCACTCCTCGCTCAAACTATGGGAAGCTCCTACACATCTGGGTATATAAAGACGATGCATCAATTATGGAACAACCAACTAAGACAATCCGGGGTAGAAGGGACACCACACAATCACTGCGGCGCTTCGGTGGTAGACTTGGTCGGCTCCTTCTCACCAGAAACGCTCTCAGACTGAGGGGAAGATGAGTCGCCCGGCGCGACGCCCTGGGTGATCTGAGCGTTGATCTGAGCAATCGAGCTCCGACGGACTGAAGCTTCGTCCTGGAACAATGACCACTCGCCAATAAGCTCGTCAGAGAATTGATCCAGATCCAGACCGATGATTTCCACTTCATCCGTTACTCTCAGATGCAGTCCCGGGATGTATTTGAGGATAGTGAGCATGATGTAGGACAGGGTAAATGACCAAGCGGCAATGGCAGCAATTTCAGCGAGCTGCTTGGCCACCTGAACGCCGTGGCCATCGATGGCTCCTTGAGCGATGGTAGCGCCATCAAGAGACGACACGGATGCAGATGCGAAGATTCCGGTGAGGAATGCTCCGACCGTGCCGCCAATTCCGTGCAATTTGCTGTAAATGATTCATCAGCACCAATTCTATCGCCGTCATGGGTAGGATGGTACTCACAAGACTTCCAAGCCATCATCAATGTGAAGCCAGTCATTGACGGGCTCGAACAAATTAACCACAATGGCAGTGATGAAGCCAATCGCAGCGCCACACCAGACAGACACATAACCAGCCGCAGGGGTGATACCAACAAGACCAGCAATGGCACCCTCGCACGCGCCAACGACAGAGAACTTGCGGCGCTTGATGTAGTCCATAAGGACCCAACCAGCCACACCACACGATGCAGCCAAGTTTGTGTTCCAGATAGCCATCATGGCTCGGATGCTGGCGTTCAGAGCAGAACCACCGTTGAAGCCGAACCAACCGAACCAGATAAGGACTGTTCCAAGGAAAACAATGGTGACGTTGTGGGGTTTGTAGACGTGCTTCTCGCCATATCGGCTTCTCTTGCCTAGGACAAGGGCGTAGGCTAATCCGGCGGTACCACTTGAGATGTGGACAGGACCGCCACCGGCAAAGTCAAGAGCACCAAAGGTGAAGAGCCAACCGTTGGCGTTCCAGGTCCAGTAGGAGATTGGGCAGTAGCACAGGGTGGCCCAGCAAAAGCCGAAGATGATGGATGGAAGGATGCGGCCACGCTCGAACGAGCCGCCCACAACGATCATAGTCGCGCAGGCACAGAACATCAACTCATAGAAAGAGAAGACAATGTCGGGAATGACGGCCGAACCCCAGGAAGGTGCAGCCATGACCTGGAATGTAATTTAGCGCCCTGACAAGAGAGTCTTGCGATTGTTTTCTGGCGAAGATCTTACATCGATCATTCCAAAGTTCTTGAGGTCGCCAATGAAGGGACCGCCGGTTCGGGAGAAGGCGAGCGAAAAGCCCCAGAAGGCCCATTGAAAGGAGCACACCGCCATCACGGTCAAGGATTGGAACACCATGGCCAGGGCAGACTTCCTGCGCGTCATGCCACCGTAGAGCAAGCCGAGACCGGGGACAATGACGAAGACGAGACATCCCATAATCACCTGGTAGACGTAATGGTACTCGAGGCCGGTGTAAGGCAGATTGACGTCTATCTGCTGTGGATCGCCTCCATTGGCCATGCTGGAGTTGAACTCCGGCTAGGGATTGATGTCAGCATTGGTAAACCGGAAGGATGGTCGAGGGAGGGGAGAAACCTACGGCGACCGGGACTGCGACTGTGGCCATGGTGGTAGACTCAGACAATGCTGGAGGTCGACTCTCAGGAGGAACAGCCTGCGGGACAAGAAATGCTTGATGGAGAGAAGACTTGTGGAGACGGAGCAGGGCAGACCTCCTCCTATATACCTGGGGTGGTTAACGGATATCGGGACCAGAGTCCACCATGGCGAGAATGCGCGTGGCACTTTATTCCGTTGCCAGATCACCTCCACGCTAAATCCCACAGTCCAAAAGTATCCATTGCTCTTGAAGTTGTCAAGACACCCACCAGTCCTGTACCCGTACTGTGTCTGACTGCGAAGCGAGAAGCACGAGTGTTCTTTTTTTTTATTCCGGATCCCATTGACACGGAAGGCTTGCGGCCCTTGCCTCAAACGGGCCAAGGGAGCCGAGTTGAGGATGGTGGTCCTGAGGCTTGGCCCCGTTGATAGAGAAGCGTCGAGGGCGGAGATTGGCTGAGGGCAAAGGCGATGCAAATAACTGAATCAAATAGGTTCGCAGGGGCCCCTGAATACGCCTCGTGGTTGATTGCCCGGCACCCAACTTTGCAGCTGAGGTTGTAAGATTAGCGAGCCTTGCGGGCCTTGGTGCCTTGCTCTTATCAGTGGAGCCTCGCCAAGACATGTGCCAAGCTTCGTATCTCTCCCCAACAGGCCAATAGCAACGACCATTTTCGGGATAAGCAGGATGCTTGACTGATCTTGAAGCGCTTGTCACCTTGCAACAACATTCCTTTGTCTTGTCAATGTGGAGACAACATCCTCAAGAACAGCTCTGTGTTGCTGTCAAGGCCAAACGACGCCCACCACGATCACCAACCGCACGCGCCGACGCCGGAGAAAGAGCCGTCCTCCCCACGGCCATCCTCCTCCTCACTTCCCCCCTTCTGCACCCGCACACGGCCCGGCAGTCGAATTTCGCTTGTTCAACGCCCGATGGTCTTGGTACCTTGACAGGCAGTTCTTGGTCAAGAGTCCGTCTGAGAGACATGCGGTTCGTCTGTCATGAGAACGAATGAGTGTTTAGAATTGGCCTCGGAGATGGCAGAACCATGTACGAGGTTGCGGTGACACCTTGATGTTTGTTGGAATTTGAGGACAATATGCACCATTGGATGGATCGAGCCCAAGTTCGCGGCTACTCGATTCGGTTGTGGCCCTTCTCCAACCTCGAGCATTGGAAATTCCTACTACCTTCATCAGCCATGCTTTGTGATTACGCGAGCCGACACCGTCGACTGAAGCCCTCATGAATCGTGATGCCTGGCAAGCATGTCGAGCCTGGAAACTCAAAAGAGTTGCCACAGAATTTTATCATGTCGATCAAAGACACGGCCCAGAATGCTTAACTCGGCCAGAATGCTTGACTGGACTCTTGTGGATCAAACGTTTTATGGAGGCCGATGTACGTTCCAGACCTGGTGATAAGATTTCTCCGGACAGTCGGCACCATACGAATAGACTTACGCCTTGGCATCATGGTAGGTCATGAGTTACAAGGTGAGAGGACGGTCCATAGCGAATCTCAGAGTCCATGGACGCCGAAAGATGTGTGTTCGGGGCCTGGCCTTGGTCGATTCAGCTGTCTTTGCCGATCTAAGGGGTTTCACGGGGTCTACCTTTTCCAGTAGACAGCCTCGAAGCGCTGTCGAGTGGTGGGTGCCCGACTTGCACTGACGAAGTTTGTTCGAAGCTGTGCGATTGATCTCATTCCTCTTGTTATTCCTCTCATTGACAGGATCGGCCTACAAGTCGAATACTCACATGCTAGTCGCTACTGATATGGTCCAGAAAAGTGTGTAAGTTACAGAAGAAAATACTGTTCTAACCTTTTGGGAGAGGCTAAGACTCTTCGACTCGTTTCTCCCTGGACACGCGACCAGGCCGCCCATCGTAGTTCGCCGAACAATCGAAGCGCGCACCTTTTCAGGACTGCCAAGAGTCTCTGGTGGATGCAGTCAATTCGAACAGTGATAGAAGGAGGTTAGACTTGCAGGACTGATGTCCAACTGATCTCGCATCGCTGATTCAAGCCACCACGAGCGTACAGATAGGTAAGGGACGACCGCCACATCAAGGATCGTTCAGCGCCACGTCCTGACGCTCCCGATGTGTGGCGCTACCAATCGTCCAGCCACTCTCCACGCCCTCTCGTGGAAGTCTCCAGAGACGGACAATGTACCAGCAGACTTTATTGCCTGGCCGTACTTGGATGTACCGTCTCACGGTCTCTACTAAATGATGCTACTGGAAGCTTCAGCCTTGTTCAACTTCCAACCTTTGACTAACGTTACACCTGATGACGCTCAGGAGGAATCGTGGGAGAAAACACTGGGTCATTAATATTATACACAGGAGCGAGCCAAAGACTACCCCTTTCAAGTCCACTTCTTTGGGGCTTTCTGCCTTGGAAGCGTCCTTAAGCTGGCTACAGGTAAGATGGTGGCAGAATCCCTGTCCTGTCTATCATCGTTGAGATTGGGTCGTGCTTCAATCTGCTGAGAATAGCGCCAGTAATGCGCAACAGCTTTCTGCCTTCGCGAACGCAACATGCTGGCTCAAGTCAAGGACTCCACCCTGTCTTTGTTCGACTTGTTTGCTTCTTTCACCACATTATCAATGTTTGGTTCGTGACAGCTGGCTATTCGTTGCAAGGGAGTGGTTAGGGAGTATTGGTGCCATGATGCTCGAGGTTACTCTCACTCGGCTGTTTTCTTCTCAAGCCTTCGTCACCGGCTTCTTTGTGTCTTGCTTCTTGCTATATTTTCCCCAGCCCAAGGCTCGTGGACTATACGCGAATGTATCAGTAATGCGACCACCAAAAAAGACTCGCGAGCGCCGATGCTTACATTCGAGAAGACCACGAATCTTCATACAACTCCCTGTCGAGCTCGGCCTTGTCCACAAGTCGCTGCAACGAGGCTGGCAGACGAGGCTTTTTGAGGAGTGATCTCCTGTTGGCTTGTTCTTGATTGGATTTCTTGGGCTGGTTGACTTGTTTTGAAGGCTCTGGACCTGGACTATATTCGCAACCCCTGTTAGTAGACGGTCCAATATGCAATGAAGAGGCTATAAGGCCACTCTCAGAGGTACTTACATCGGACCCCAAGGATCTTCGTACAAGTCTCTCTCCTTCTCTGCCTTGTCAACGAGACTTTGCAGTGGTGCTGGCAGGCTGGAGCTTGAAGACGACCTCTGATGGGTCGATGAGTTGTCAGAATTGACGGGATTCATGAATGTTTGGCTGTTTGGATGTTTGTTGTTGTTATTGTTGGTTTATCTGACTTGGATGCCTTTTTTTTTAATGATGTTTTCCACTTCTGTGACGGTGGCCAAAATCCACAGGTCCAGAGCATTTTTATACACGCTCCCCATGGGGAGAGAATCCCAGCACACCCAGGGTATTCAGAACATTCGCAGGGTCCCAGCGCGACCAGGGCATTAATTCCCGCGTCGACACAGCCAATCCAAGGCCCAGAACTACACTGTCGGCGCAAACTCGGCCTCTGTCGTCATGTGTCGCTTGACCCCCAAACATCGACATCATCGTGCAGCTCGAGATTCGAGAGATGCGAGACTCGTCCGACAACCAGTCCCAGTGATGCCCGCACGAGCGGCGCATTACTCATCAAACACATCCCCTGTCCCCATCGAGGCATTATACAAACAAGTCAGAATTATTATCTGGAAATCTCGCCGAAAAAGCAGGTGGAGAGATCTACATCCAGTCCCCTTGTGCGCACAAGTACAGGTACATAGGTGAACATGTTTTGTTCTTATTCTTATTCTTTTACGACAAATTTCTGCCCTCTGACCTCTGCTGGGTGTCTGGACCTTCTAGCTCATCGCGCTGCGGCGAGTCAAGTCAAGTCAAGTCGCATTATCCCTTCTCTGGATTGGGGATCGTATCGCCCTTGTCGAGTACTGACCCAAGCCCTCCCTACCTACATATGTATGTTCGTATGTACATATTGCCATACATACTGCGTGAAATCTCCTCCTCCTACCTTGCTGAATAATGTATCTTGAATGGGCTCTCCAGCCACCAACCTGGCTTGGTCGGTACAAGAAGATTGTCTGGCACGGACCTAGCGTAACTTGGGACAGGAGGCAGGGGATGGGATGGGATGGGATGGAACAGAACAGGGCGGTTTTACGTATCCTGTATCCTGCACAAAAGAGCTATTGCGGCGGTGGTGGGAAGGAGGAAAATCTTATAATCGTATAGAAGATCATCTGGGCGAAACTATAGAATAGATATGTACGGAGTCATGGAGCTGTGGAGCAGTATATCAGTCAATCAAGGGGTTGGTCGTCAAGGTCAAGGCCATGCTTGAAGAATAAATGGGGGAGAGGGAGGTGGAGAGGACGGATGCAATCAGACATCATCACCAACACCAGTATCATCCGCTACCACCACCGCCCACCACGACGAACACATGATGAATAAATGCCGTCAATCACCACCGTCACGACGCGCTCACGCCATTCACGTCCTTCTCATACTTCAAGTCCAATCCCTCCAACTCACCCTTGGCCCTCCACTCCCGCAACAGGTTCAAAAACGCCGGGGCGCCGCCGCCGTAGCTGGCGTTTTTAGCCGCCGCAGGATTCGGCGTGCCCTCGTTGTTGTAGTAGCCCGGGGTGCAACCGGCCAGGAACTCGGCGCGCAGCTTGGCCATGTCGAGGATGGTGTTGACCCAGTCCTCCTCGGCCTGGGCGGTGGGCTCGACGGTGCGGACGCCGCGCTTCTCGCACTCGGCAATCACGTAGGCAAGGTGCTCGGCCTGCTCGCCCGTGACGTGCAAGAAGTTGGGCGACAGCGCGGCCTGCACGATCTGCACCCAGAAGCAGTTGGGGAAGTCGCGCGTCGTCCAGCCGTGCAGCGTGCGCGACCCGTCCTTCCAGCACGACGTGATGGTTTTGCCGTCGCGGCCCGTCACCTCCATGTTCGACCGGTGGCTCCATTCAGTAGCCAGCTCAAAGCCCGTCGCGTAGATGAGCGTGTCGAGCTCGTACAGCTGGCCGTTGGCTACCACTCCCTTCTCCGTGATGGCCTCGACGCCCTTGCCCGCCGTGTCGATCAGGTGCACGTTGGGCCGGTTAAATGTGTCGAGGTATTCGTCGTGGAAGCATGGTCGCTTACATAACTGGTTGTACCACGGCTTCAACGCCGCCGCCGTCGCGGGATCCTTGACTACCTCGTCGCACCGCGCCCGCACCGACTCCATCTTCTCGTAGTCTGCGATCTGGCGCTGTGCGGCAGCCTTTTCCGGGTCCGCCGGCTCGTCGCCTATAGTGGGCTGCCAACGTGCGAGGAGCTTGTGGAGGATGTCTGTCCAGCCGTCCTTGACGAGGTCGACGGGCGCAATCCCGCCATTGACGATGATGTTGAAGTTGTCCATGCGCTCCTTTTGCCAGCCTGGTTTTAGCGAGGCGGCCCACTCAGGGTCGGTGGGGCGATTGCCGCGCACGTCGATTGACGATGGCGTCCGCTGGAACACGTACACCTCCTTGGCCCATTTACCTAGATGAGGCACGATTTGGACGGCAGTCGCACCGGTGCCAATGATACCTACACGCTTGTCCGAGAGCTTGTGTAGGTTCCCCGTGGTATCACCGCCAGTGTAGTTATAGTCCCATCGGGATGAATGGAAGGAATGGCCTTTGAATGACTCGATCCCCGGGAGGCCGGGCAGCTTGGGTCGATGCAGAGGTCCAGCGGCTGGGATGACATACTTTGCCCGGATGGTATCGCCCCAATTGGTCTTTGCCGTCCACAAGGCAGTCTTCTCATCCCACTCGAGACTGTGTGTCTCTGTTTGGAACAGTGCCTTGTCGTACAAGCCCCAGCGGCGGCCGATCATCTCAGCGTGCTTGAGGAGTTCGTTGGCCCGGGCGTACTTTTCGGTCGGCATGTAGTTGAGCTCTTCGAGGAGGGGCATATAAATGTATGATTCGATGTCGCATTGTGCCCCAGGGTACCGGTTCCAATACCTATCGACCGTGTATGAATTATCAGAGAGCAGTCCTTCTTTTCTGTGGACTATTTTGCAGCAGTCCTGGGGGATTCAGGCTTACCAGGTACCTCCAAAGTCACCTGCCTTCTCAATGATCCGCAAGTTCGTGACACCCGCCTCGATCAAGCGGACGGCGACGAGCTGAGCGCCGTATCCGCCACCGATGATGATGACGTCGACTTTCTCGTCGACCGGATCTCGTTTGAAGCCGGGCTCGACCCAAGGGTCCTTGAGGTAGTGCGCGAATGGCCCACCGTGCTCGACAAGCCGATATTGGTCGATGCCCCCTTTCGCTTGGCCATACTCGAGCCTTTTGTCACGCTCCTCCATGTACTTGCGCTTTAGCGCCTCGGGGTCGAAGGGCAGGTCATTGGGTTTGGAGGCCAATGAGATGTCGGATTCGAGTGTCGTCTTTGGGGGCTTGGGACCCAGAAGATCAGACGGGACAAGGATCTTGACTTCAGCCATTTTGGCGGTTGGTTCTCGTTGACAAATGTCTGGTCTTACAGAATACAGATCAATACTTTCTCAACGTGTGGGTTCCTGATTCGCCCGTCACCGTCAACAGTGGCAGGGGATGTTTCTCGTCAATCTATCTACGAGTCGCCCGGGATAGACTGCTTTGACGTGATAGAGACGCATACAGAAGGGGTTGGTTTGTCGGGCCGAAATATATATGATCTGGTTGTCAACGACTCGGGCCCGAATCGTATTACCGTGTTCGAGCCGGAGAGGCTATACCTAACGACAGGCACCCAATACGAGATGACTGTGTAGGTTCACGGTCTTGAACCGCGGAGCAATGGCGGCTATCCCAAAATCCCCCGCATTTGACTTTTGGGTTGCAGAGCTCATTGAGCTACCGAGGTCTGCATGAGTATCAAAAGGGAAATGGACTGCGAAACACACACGTCGCGAATGATGTGATGCTGTTCAAGATTGGCCTTTTGACCCGAACGTGGATGCTGTTGTGCCCTCCGACTGATTTCCTAAAACGTCCTTCCTCGGTAGTCAGGGTGATACGAGTCAGGCCTGCAACAGCCCAGGGCGAATTCCTTGCTGCTGCTAACGCGGGGTCGCAATGTTGCTGATGCTGGTTATGTCGTTCTTTCGGACTCGAATCAATTCCTAGTTGTAGTATAAGAAGAGCGAACAAGTCGGGTAGTCGGGTAGTAACAGCAGTAAAAAGTAGTCCAGGCATTTTTGTTGACCCACCGACCGACCCTCTAGACACAAGCAACATAACATGGCTGCAAACGGCGATGCGGCGAGATCTTCGGCGCCAGTGGCCTACATCACTGGGGGAGCCAGCGGGATGGGGTTGGCAGTCGCCCAAGAGATGGCTGCCAAAGGCTGGAACCTGACCATTGTCGATCTCAACGAAAAATCCATCTCAGCCGTGGAAGCTAGCTTTGACCCGAACAGGACCACGTTCATCAAGGCCGATGTAACAGACTATGAAGCGCAGGCCAAAGCCTTTGCTCAGACTTGGGACAAATGGCACAGACTGGATGTCGTTTTTGCGAATGCGGGCATCGGTGATAGAATTGACTTCTTAGCCCCTGCGACCAAGTTTCTGCCAAACCTGCCGGGCGTCCCTGCGAAACCCGACGAGCTGGTGATCGATATCTGCCTCAATGCCATGGTCTACAGTGCCTATTTGGCTCTGCACTTCTTCCGACAGAACCCATCCAAAGCGGGCAAGATAGTCTTCACGTCCTCCATGTGTGGGTGAGTTTTGATTCATTGGCCCGCCGCGTGCACTGGCATTCGGTGTTCCTCGTCTTGGTTCAATTCAAGCACTTACCAGTCCTATGCAGATTGTATCCAGGAGATAGCATCCCTCTTTATACTGCAGCGAAGCATGGCATTGTGGGACTGACTCGCGCACTGGCCAAACGCCTGAGAATTGTCGGCGAGCCCATCACGGTGAATTGTATCTGTCCAGGACTTGTTGATACGGGGTTGACAGGGGTACTGATGTCTGTTTGCCCGCCTGAATACGTGACACCAAGGTCAACTATTGTGCGGGCAGTCATGGGATTTGCAGAAGACGACTCTCTGTCCGGACAAGTAGCAGAATGTAGTGTGGATAAGATACATTACAGGAAACAGCCTGAATATGGAGACGCGGAGGCAGAGTACATTATGACGAACAAATTGGAGGCTGCACTCAAAGCAAGAGGCGTGTGACCAGGGAGACTGAGTTGCCGT